ATTCCATATTTCTGGGTTGGAGGTCATCTGAAGGTCATACAATGTTACATGGTTGGATTCGTTTGGATGCCGGCTACAATATGCAAGGAGAAAAAATGTGCCATTCCATTTAAAAAAACTCTGATAACCTTGAACAAACTGGTAAAAAATGAAATAAAAAAAAATATTATGATAACCATGGGCGCCCTTCCGAATCATTTAAATTCCGATATTTGCAAACTCCGTATCTTTAAATCCAATAAAGTTGTTTAGGTGTTCTGTTTCTCGCGCCTCACCCTGTATATGAGGAAAAGTTATTGATACATTCACTATAGGAATTGAAGGTTCTGAAGCGATTGCCACCAAGTTCAATACGATTAGTGTACAAGATCAGGGCGTATTGAAATGGCGAGCGAGATGATTTTAATTCAGTGTCATCGTCGTCGTCGTCTTCGCACGTCCATCGCATTTTTCACATGACAGATGGCGCTGACTGCTTTGCCTTCTTTACCTATTTGTACTCTGGATGGTGTTGGTAATTTACGAATACACAACACAATCAAATACACTTTGTACGTGAAGCTACCGTTCACACCGAATTTCCAGTTGACATAAGGCTGCTTTCACAATAGTATAGAATTATTAAGGCTTTCATCTGGAGCGCGTGTGTATGCGTGTACGTATGTGTGTATGTGTGTGCTTTAACATAGTTCCTCGTATTTTAGGTGACAATTTTTAGATTGCCGAACTCTTACTCCGACCCTCTCTACCTCAAACATAGCAGCCTGAGCGGCCGTGCATTTCCGTAACCGTCCGCTCCCGTTCGTGTATCCAGTTGCGTTTGCTGATTTTACGCGACCCCAAAGATCAGCACCTACGGTTGCGTTTCTCGATTTTACGCGTCCCCAAAAATCGACAGGATCCGTTAAGCTATCGCCTCGTCTGATAGGTTCCGTCAGAGCTCTCGTTCTTGGTGGAGTTGGGCCTGTTCCATCCCAACTCCCAGTTTATACCGGCTCGTCAGTTCCCGGTGAAAAAAGAATTGACTGGCGCCCGCCTGGCTTGCGGATGCACGAACGACGGGTGGACGGCCGAAGGTAACGTAGGTTGGTTCTCGAAGATAGTCGTTCCCGTATGTCTTGCTATCGGTGTCGGGTCAAGTTAAAGAAATACGTTACAGTGTGTATGTGTGTGCTTTAACTAGTTCCTCGTATTTCAGGTGACAATTTTTACAGATATGGGATTTCCAGATGCTTCTCTCCGTAGTTTTCTGTAACTAGATGTCGGATGTGGAAGTCCAGAGTGTCCAAGTGTTCCGCTCCGTAGTTTCTTGTATCTGATACAGTTCTCGGCCTCCACGGCTTAGCTGCACCAGTTCCGGTGAGGACTCCCAATTTATTAATTGGTGAAGGGATCTCGATAGATAATTAAGATTCGTTCTGATACGTTCTCGGTTAGTCGCTCTCTGTCATTTGGTCATCGTCGTCGTCTTCGTACCTCCAACTACTTTTTAAGATAACAGATGGCACTGATTACAACACGTAGTTGAGACTTGTGTCAAGTACAAGCAACCAATGGTATAGCCAATACAAAATTTCGTTGATTACATCTCAAAATATCAACGTCGTCTTCGTACCTCCAACTACTTTTTTAGATAACAGATGGCACTGATTACAACACGTAGTTGAGACTTGTGTCAAGTACAAGCAACCAATGGTATAGCCAATACAAAATTTCATTGATTACATCTCAAAATATAAAATAACTTCGAATTATCTTTAGCAATTTGAAATACGAAAAACTGATTTATATGTAAATAAAAATTAGATGAAAAAAAATAATAATACGCAATGAAGAATATTTATAAAAAGGAAAAGAGAAAAAATGAAAGTTTATGTAAATATAATTCGGAATTACATAATAAAGTACATACTTTTAGATGGGTGAACAAATAACATATATAGCGCAATCAAAATGTAATTTTCAAATATTTATAGTCTTGGAACATGTTACTTTCTTGACTATTCATTTGATTCAATGTAATATGCATGTAAAATTATATGTTACAACATGCAATATAATTTTAAATTAATAAATTAATACATATTTGAGTTATAGTGTAATATAATTTCCAACAAATTATTTTGCAATAGTATATTCATGTTTCAATAAATTACTTGCTTCACTTCAATAATTGATATCATATTATTGAGGCCAAGTACATAAGTCACTACATGTTTTCCTATTATATGATCTAGCACTGGCGCATCATTTTAATTATTTTTCCAATATTTCCTATAACGTTTTCGCTACTCTTTTATGTTACTACTGCTTCCCGTGTTTAATTATGATTTAATGGTGATTTAATAATTAATAAAACT